TGATTTTGCATTGTCTCTTGGAGTTCTTTGGGCTAAACCTGACATCAATCTCCCCAGACTGAACCCCAGCTCCCAAGCCAGCCAGCCACAATACCATGAATTCCTGAGGGAGGTGCCAGCCTCATCCTCTTGAAGTTCCCACGCTCCTGCGGTGGACTAAGAAAACGCTTATCTCCCTGAGTCTGGCCTTCATAATTCCATTCCATCACATAGGCAGAGGTTAGAAGATCTGTTGGACTGGCAGCAGGTTATCCCTTTTTCTTGCCCATGTGAAGTCTAACACGTGTGTTACATGGCCCATCCTTATGCTGGGTTCCCACTTCAGCGAATGAAGTGAGGGAAGAGCAGAATGTAACAGTATCTGCCATTGCCCTGCATTTAAGTGAGATAGGGAGAGTTATGTTTGTGTCTTTTTGACTGATTGATCAATTTATTTCATTTAATACTGCCAAAATAAAACAATTCATGGCAGCTTCGCCTTCTGGAAAAATGGACTTATACTTCTTATGTCCTGGATTTCTTTTAGATTGGGTTGAATCTTGCATAAAGTGTGTGTTGTAAATGCATTAGCAAGATATGGAAAGAATTTACAGGCTATATTATTGAACAACTTTCCGTATGATTAAATTGAAAACTCTTTGTATCCCTGATCCAAATATTGGACTATTTCAGCTGGAATCTTGGGGAACATATTACAACTTTCTAGATCAAGTAAACTGTGGTTTGGATTCTGAACATCACCTGTCCCCTAAATTACACACAAAGAAGCAGAGGTCTGTATCCTGGTCAAAAGACCTTCTGCTTTGCTTCTACATTGTTGTTAGGCTCTTGGCTGCTGACTCAGTCAACAGGAATTCTTCTAGGCAAGATTCTCACCAAGACTTCTTTCACAAGATTTAATGAGATAAAAGGGATAAGGTTGCAAGAATTTCAGCAACTGAACTATTCCCAGTTTAGAACCAATTTATTCCCCAATGCATTAGGGCAGGGATGTTCTGTGTTTCTATCTAACAGGTTTCTTTCCAACTGACAAGGATCAGTTCTTTTCTCTGATAATGGAGGAGCTTGCAGGTGGCTGTTCATAAAACCATCTCCTGAACCTTTGTCAGTTTGTCAATTGGCCATTACAAGTGCTGGGTTAGTTTACTGATGAAAAACAATTGCCAGTTGGAGGGAAAGTTTTGACAATATTCCATATTGTGAGTGCTTTTGTATTTGCCCAGAATATGCTACTGAGTCAGTTGGTCACATTTTTCTCCACTGCCCTCTTTACGGTGATTGGCAGGCTGCCTTTATATGTCCACTTCTTACTGGCTGCGCTGTTTGGCCAGAACTTGGAAATTGTTCACTTTCTACTTTCAGAACTTTCATTGAAGATTTCCAGGAACGTTGCCAAGTTCTCTTCAATCATTATTGCCATTGGAAGCTTTGAGGCTTAGCTTTGACTTTAGAGGTTGTATGGATAATCTCAACTGTATTAGAACATTTTGTTCAATTTCCTTTGTTTTACTACTTCTTGTATTGCACTTTATCTTGCTTGCATTTGTTTTATTTATGACTACTATTACTGTTCATGTTTTTGCTCTTTGACTATACATCAATAAAGGAAGGAAGGAATTGCCTGCTCCAAATATCCAGGGAGCCTGAATTTGAATTAAATTTGAAATGGAGTTTGAACACTGGCCTTCAAATCAGGAATTCTCTTAAGCTACCTGACATGCATACTAAAAAAAATAGTGGGACTGTTAGGCAATGAGTTGGTCATTAGGCCTCCAGGCTGGAAGCCACAGAACTAAAATTCAGCAATACTGGAGATGACTAAAGTGGGAAAGGTGGTTTAAAACATATACTGCATTACAAAGCTCTATACTCAATCACCTTCTCTCTTTTTCTGGTATTTCTTATTAGGAGACCTGGTACTGGTTTGGAGACACTGTTGCAGACGACGTGGTCATGAGTGGGGTGAAATGCTCTGGGACAGAGATGGCTTTGTTCCACTGCAGTCATGATGTCAAGGTCTCTTGTCCCAAAGGAGGTGGACGCCACGCAGCTGGTGTTTCCTGTACACAAAGTAAGCTATTGAGCATGCTCAAAAGCTAGACCACTTTGGCCGCCCAGGTTCACTAGGCAAGCGCTCTTCCATGAAGACACCACTCTTGGAATCTATTCTCATTCTGATTGGAACCTAGAGCAACATTTTTCTCTCCCCACAACTTGTTTCAACTTTCATAGGGTCCAGGTAAAATACGTAGGAGACAGATCCCAGCAATACTCATCTCGGCACCCCTCTCTGAAAGTCTCTTCTATGCTTCCCCATCTCTGAGTGATTTCCTGTGGTTGCAGCCATTCTGGTTTCTACTGTGCAGATGCAACAGAAGCTTGCAACGTCAGAGAAGTAAACAGTGAAGGAACGTAGGAACAATTTAACACTTTTTTTGAGCAGGAGGAGAGAAAATAATTAAAACTAGTATATAGGTGTGCTTGGATTGGATGGGAAGCTAGCAGCAAAGCCCGGGGCCATAGACTAAATTGGAAAGTTGAAAAACTTTATCAGAAAAAGACACTGGCAAAGTATTGTCTTCTATTGCCAAGAAAACTACCTAGAATGTCACCTTGTGTCACATTCAGATGGAGATACAACACGTTTGCCTGAGCAAATAGCAGCACCTAGCTCATTTTGGCTGATCTCAGAAAGTTTGGTAGGGTTGGATCTTGCTGGAACGTGAATGGGAGGTCCCAGGAACCTCCAAAGGTATGATCTAACCTGGGAAATTGAAGCCCCAAAGAAGGCAATTGTAAATTATTTCCATTCAGTAAACCACGTGGGCATGTGACAGCCAGTGACTAGCAACACGAAGCAGTCTTGACCTTAGAATTAGATTTCTCCCTGAAACACTTTGCGTGGTTTCAGAAGAGATTGGTTTTGCTCACTAGCTCACAATAACTGAGGACAAGGGGAAGGAAGTTATGTTAGCCTTCACCCTGGTTAAAGCCCGATAAAATAATCGAAACATAGATGTGCTTGAGCGTTATTTAGATAAATTGTTTTTTCTGACAGCTGAATTCTGGGCTTCATTCTATTTTGGCCAATGGTGCCTTTGAATTTTAAATTCTACAAAGTATATGGACAAAAAACCCCAACTCTTTGAACTGAACTAAACTGGTCTTTAGTTCAAGCTGTCTTCTCTCTTCTCCAAACTCACATTGGTGGTTCCCCTCTGTTCCATTTTAATGAATCCAGAATGTGGATCAGATGTGTGGAAAGCACCACTTTTTATTTTCTCAGACAGAATGCAAATTAAGAACTAAGAATACTTCTCCTTTCTATCACATTAAACATGACAATTCAGTGCTAACTTAACTTGGTCTAGGTTATTCTTTAGCACATCTTCCAAATACAACTAAGCTGTGATGATGTTCAAAATATATGTCTCTGCCATGACACTAAGCATTGACTTCAATAAATGGAAGCAACTCTGTGACAGCCTTCCATTGGGCATGCTGGCTGGGGATTCTGGGAGCTGTAGTCCAGATAGATCTGGAGATTGCTAGGTTAAGGAAATCGGTGCTTGTAGCATTTCTCAGAATGGAGGGAGGCTGTTAATGGATTTGTTCTGAAGAGCTGGGCTTTGAAATTAAGGATGCCTTTTAATTTTAAATGATTCAGCATTTGGTGCTGCCCTGTGATTTTGTCTTTATCTCCTTTTATTCCTATTTGTTTGGCTCCTGCTGTATGATGTCCATTTTAATTACTTGCATTTGGCAGTTTTGTTATTCTCGCTTTTTTTCCTTGCTTTTATTTCTCCATATGAACATTGGCTTGATGCGTTTGCTTTAAATATAATTTAGGATGCACACCGGTCTTGAAAAGTGTCTTGGGAAACCTTCCATTTTTCAAGGTGGCCTACAAACCCTTCAACGGAAATAATCAGAGGATAAAAGCAAAGCTCATACTCTCCATTGATGTGTCTTGTCTGCAGCCGCAGCTGATCTTGTTCTCAACGCCAAGGAAGTAGAGTACACATCCTACCTGGAGGATCGCCCGATGCGTGCGCTCCAATGCGCCATGGAGGAGAATTGCCTGGCCTCCTCAGCAGTCAATACCTCGGTGTCCTCTGGTTACAGGAGACTCTTCCGTTTCTCCTCCCAGATCCATAATAATGGACAGGCTGACTTCCGCCCCAAAACTGGCCGCCATGCTTGGATCTGGCATGAATGCCACAGGCAAGTCTTGCTTTACACCTCCACCTTTGCAGATTACCCCAAAGGAGGAAAACAGAGAAAAACACTGAGGGCTGACACAACTCATGTAGGGGCACTGCATGACCTGCAGGAAAGGTTTCTTAGCCTGGGTAAAATGCTGGTGGCTCTTGGCTGTTGGTTCCAAGTCAAACTCCACAAGCCCATGAGCACATCCCTAGCCTGTTCACATCTCACACAAAGCCATAATTTAATCAACTGTGATTTATCAAATAAACCACAGCTGGGTTTGCCCTGCTCCCTAAGCAAATTGTGTTATGCCTGAGCACAGGGGGGAATCCGTTGTTTTGTTCTGTACGAATCTATGCAGATGTTTTCAATGAAGCCAGATTTGGGTCCATCTCACTCTGTTGACTCTGAACTGGCAGATCCTTTCCAAAACCACCAAACTCCTTTAGAGCTTTGCCATGCAAGACACATCAAAGAGGAGACAGGAGTGGCTGAATCTGAGATGTACCGTCTGGGAAGCGCTCATGGAATGATAGTCTCAGAATCTCTTCCATGCCTACGACCATCTCAGGTAGGCTGGTACCACCAGTTTATCAAGCCCTCCAGGACCAGCAGACATGGCTGGTCGCCCTCTTGGTGTGGCCTCTTTCTACTTAACCTCACAATGTCGCTTCCTATCACGGCCAGTTTCCTTTCTGGCATTTCCGAAAAGTTCAAATTAAGTGAGGCGGCTACAACCATCAGTCGGCTGAAACCAGTTTGTTTATAGAGAGGAATACATGCTCAATTGCTCTACAGTATTTCTGGTTTATAAACGGTATAAGATAAACACCTTTCTGAGCCGGCAGACATATTTTAGGAACACAGTCAGTCCTACAGTTTGCATTTATGTTTTACTTTTTCACGTTGGAAAGGGCTCAAGCATCCGACTTCAAAGTAAATAGTTGGGATGTCTTAACAGCCCTCCATATTTTCCAACCCCAGACTGTGGAATTCTGTTCATGATATGAATGGGGTGGATAGCAGGGTACCACTTAAAGGCAGGTTAAGAAGAATCAGAGAACGTGTGGCAAAAGAAAATTATTAGAGCAACTCTGGATCAGGTTTTTTTTTTTAAGTTTCCTTCCGAAAAATGATTTCCCCACATGCAAGTAGAATAAATAGACAGATGTACAGTATTAGGAATCTCTACCTGATACCAAATCCCAGCTGTTTAAAGTTTCTCTGTGGTTTATTTTCTCAGGTGCAAAGGAGCTAACTCTACTTTGCAGTCCCTTAGTTTCCCATCGCTTAAACCAGGATATGCCTGTTTTCTGGATCTGATTCTAAACTGAGCAACTCTGCCACTCATAGTCCGTGGGCACTGATGTGCTGCACAAATTAAAAACTAAAAACCCTTGCAAGATGCAAGAATGCCTTTCAACGTCTTGACAGAAAAGCTTATTACAGTTTCCCTGATGCTTATAATTCACCCTTGTGGGCATGATTCCATGCTCACCAGAAAAGGTTGAAGGTTTATACTGTACTTCTGTTTTGGGAGAAGAACCATAGCTCAGTGGTCAAGTCCCACATTCAGCTGATGTTCTCTCTATTTAGAAGATTCAGGTATCAAGTGAGGGGAAAAATTCTTTTCTTCCTGGGTCCCTGGAAGGTGGCTACAAGTCAGAGAGGAAGTAGTGTCCTGGACGGACAAATAGGCTATCCGTATGAGAGAACTTTCTATGTCTTAATACATGGAACCATTCAATCTGTGAAACTAATTCAGGTTTGTGCAAGTTGCCAGCAACATAACACTCAGAGATGGGTGCCCGAAGTACCCATCATCCCTCTAGATGCCATCTATAGGCTCTGCCCCCCAATGAAGGACAAACTATTTTGAAAAACAAAAATTAAAAGACTGCCATCTTGCAAGATTGCCAAATCTTGTAAAATGTTGGTATTCTTTCATGATGCCTCAGGAAAGAACACCAAAATCTTGTCAGGTTTTGGCCCAGCATTTCCTGCCAAGTTAGAGCGATTTTTGTGTTTGCTTAGTTGGCTTCCGACCAATTTATTTGAAGAACAGGGTAATCCCAGTCATGCAAAGGAACCCGATTCAGTCTCAGTTATCTTAGCACAAGATCAGTGGACAGTATGAATTTCTTTACTTAAATATTTCTGTGCCATTCCATAATGAAAGTTCTCTGGGGTATACGTTACAGAATTACTTTCTGACCCATAATCATACTATACAATACACATAGCAAGAATATAGCAGAAATATAAATAAAAGAATTTTAATGCTTACCGTAGAGATCATGCAAATCTCAGCGATGCCCTAAAAGCTTTGGAAAACAAAACAAACAACCCAAAGTATTGTCTTCTGCAAAAAGTGTACAAGACAAGTTGTATCAAACATCTCTGGGAAGAGATGCCATCACTTTCTAACCATCTGCCAAATCTCACTTGAGATGGGGGTGCTTTGATGAAAACAAGACCGAGCAAGGATAAATAGGAGCAGATGTCATCTGCCCCCGAGCTATTTAAAGCTTAACTAACACTTTGAATTAGGCCTCCCACAAAGTGAGTAACTATGGCAGGATTATCTCTGAGGTGAGCTCATTGTTTAGTCTGATAAAGGGCATTGTGGGGCACTAAGGCACTGCTGGATTAAGTTGGTTCTCAAATTATGAGTTGAGTCCATTCCTGAGCAGGTCAATTGCGACTTTAGCAGGCACTTTGCTGGTCATTGACCGAATGAGGACATGTTCTGTTCTGTTCTGTTCTGTTCTGTTCTGTTCCTTTAGCAGGCACTAACCTTTGTGGAAGCCAAGAATTGATTTATTGGCTCTTATCAGTGCCATTGCTATAACTAAGCATTAATTCAGAAGAACTATGTCTCCTGGGTTTAATGGGAGAAAGAGGTGTCGCTTCTATATGTTAAGGTTCTTGACCCAGTCTTTATATGATCTGCCCATCAGGCCAAAGACTCAGACTCATTTGCCTGAAATCTTCTAATGCAGCGTTTCTCAACCGTGGCAATTGTAAGATGTGTGGACTTCAACTCCCAGAATTCCCCAGCCAGCATTCTGGGAGTTGAAGCCCACACATCTTAAAGTTGCCACGGTTGAGAAACACTGTTCTAATGTATGATCCTCTTAGTTCTTGATTTAGAAGACACTCAGAGGATGACAGGAATGGATTTGAGACTGACAGCACATGAATTCAATTGTATTATTGTTTGGGACAAAATAATAGGATTTCCCAGAAATGGATTCCATATGTTATTTATTTCCTGCTTCAACTCTAATGTCCCAAAACTGGAATTTGCTTAGTAAATAGTCATATTTGGGAGATATTCTCATCTGAATGAAAAGCACGGATGGTTTTGTAAGTAATAAGTTTTGGATGAGCAATTGGTAGGCCTCCCAGCTAGGTTAATATAGTCCTTTAGGAAAATGGTATTCCCTGTATACATACCTGGTAGGGGAGATACCATAATCATGATAAATTGCCAATCTAGCATATCTAAAACAACCAACAACCAGATATAGTATTGACAAATAAAGGGCTGTGATTATATAAAGATAATGGCTGGATTCACCATCTTTAGCCATGGTTTCCTGACTCAACCAGAAGGGGCTGAGTCCATATAAGGCACCAAATCTTCATTTACAACCTTCAGAAATTTGCTTTCCTTCTGGCTTCCACAGGCATTACCACAGCATGGAAGTGTTTGCACATTACGATCTGCTGGATAGCAACTGGACTCAAGTTGCCGAAGGCCATAAGGCGAGCTTTTGCCTGGAGGACAGCGACTGTATAGATGGTACATGTGGTTCTAATGTAATTACAGTGCATTGATAATATGTCGGTGATTCCTAATACTTTGAACTGGCACTCCTCAATCCCCGGCTGGTGTCCCTCTTAATGCCAGTGTAGAAAATATGTCGAAGGCTGAGTCTCCATGGAGAGATTGTGCCTGTTGTATCAATTAGAATCACATGGAGAACCCCCCTTCCACCATCCATTGGAGGCTTAGAATTCTGGGAATTGTCCAACTTATCCAGAAGTCAGGTTGAAGAATGCCTTGAGGGCTCAGGGCATTCCTTGGAATAAATCTTTGAAGATGGTACTTTTCCCTTCTTGAGAGTACTAGTCCTGGGTGCTCAAGATGCACCGCTCATTCCTGTGGATCTAGGAAACTGCCTCATGTGAAATCAGAACAGTGGCCAGCCTGGCTTAGTATATCTTGATTGAGTTTAGCAACCTCTAAGACTTTGCCCCACAAGCTTCTTCTTTGACTGGAGGTGCTAAGGATTGCACCCAACATCTTCCAAGTCAACTGCTATTGTGTTACCTCTCTCTGGGGATGCATGTGGAATAGAATATTTAATTACATGATTTGCTTCCTCCATCGGAAAAAAAAATCAAAAGGACCTTACAGGCAATTTCCCATAATCTTTAAAAAATGGGGGTCATCAGTCCTTGCACAGAAGTGGGTTTCCAACTGCATAGCCCACACTTCTGTTGGTGGGCTCATCTGGAAGCACATCCATCGCTCATTTCCCTTATTGCTCTTTAGCTACAACACAATCATGCCTTTCAACACTGTAACCAGAGTCTTCTTGTAAAATGTTGATACTACCTTTGTACTGACTTCCTTCTTAGGTGTTCAGAAGCAGTACGAGTGTGCAAATTTTGGGGAGCAAGGGATCACTGTTGGATGCTATGATGTGTATCGGCATGATATTGACTGCCAGTGGATTGATGTTACAGATCTCAAACAAGGAGACTACCTCTTCCGGGTAAGCTGTGATTCCACAAATGAACAATCATCACAGGCCCTGTTGACAGAATGCAAGCAACCCATCATCTTCCTTTGCCAGCCAGTTGACCATCTTAAGATGATGGAAGAATATAATCAGGATAGTGGGGTCTGTTCTGTGCCAATCCCTTTTAGAAACCTCCTAGCCACCACTAAGGAGGCTGAGCTGTAATGTCCCTCCCTACTTTTGGCTTTGCCATTCCCACAGGAGGGGAAAAAGCTTAGGTGACATGTTGTTGTGTTGATGTCGCTTTGAAAAGGCTCAGAAGCTGTTAGCTCTTTGAAGTAGTCCAGACAAGAAGCACAACCATGAATCGTAGCTCTATCTTTATTGTAAGGTTCATGAACAGAATCTTGCAAGACTAAACGTATCTCTCCCCTCCTCTCCTTTTACTCTCCAGAAAACTAGAGAGGGTCCCTTCTGAAACACTTCCCGTGCCCCCTCTCCTTGTGTGGACTGAGGTGTCTTTCACATGTCAGTTTTCTAGTCTGTGCCTCTTCCTCCTATCTCACAAAGTCATTCCCATCACTACAAGAGCCTGTATCCACCCCAATACATTTCTGCTCCACTGGCGCTTAGTCATTACTGCAAAGGGAAAGAAAAATAGGAACAGCAGAAATGACATTCTTACAGAAGCCCCATTTTCCCAGGGCCCCTCTTGAACCTTGCCTCAAACCTAGAACCCTCATCACCTAGTCAGCTGTCCAGGAGGAGTGAATTTAATCAGGCCTATTTGAAGCTAGAAGCAAGTCTCTGAGATAAAAATGACTGCATCAATTAACCCATTTCTCTTGTTTTCATGACACCCTAACCCTATCCCCATTGGGCAAAGAAGCCACGGCCTCCTTAAAATGCAAAAATAAGAGGGAGTTGACATAGCGGTCTGCAACAATCTGTCGTCCTCCAGGCTGTGTAGGCTTGGAGTTCTCAGAGTTGTCTGACATTATCTGGAGAATACCAGGGAAGGGTGGGTGGGACAAAGTTTTTTCTGGATTACCACAATTCAATTGCAAGTTTGGAGAAAAATGCATTTTTAAACATCCTTTCTCATGTAGAAAAAATATACCAAGGATATATTGCTCTTACACTGTCCATCGTTAGGATTTCTTGTAGGAATCTTGCAATGGGATAGGTGACCGGGGGTGGGGAGGAAGACACATAATTTTAATTGCATAAGTAAGCATAATTTGAACAGGTCTGAAATCTATAGCCTTGATCTTACAAAAACACTGCTCCTGAGGAAGACTTCTCAGGCTGTTTTAGCTTCAGTAAATGCAATTGCTGTATCAGTTTGTGCTGAAAGGAAAGCGGTGTCTGTTGGGGAGTCAAGATGGTGGCTGCACAATTGAAGCCTCCCTTTTTGACGTGTAAAAAGAGAAGGGGCTTCAATTACATGATCCCAACTACGCTTTTTTTTCTTTTTTTTACACCCCTCTCCCCAATCAGGATTATATCTTTAATTAGATCACACTGAAATTGCTCTCTCTCTCTTTTCCCAGATCATTGTTAATCCAAACTTTGAAGTTGCAGAATCTGATTATTCCAACAATGTTATGATATGCAAACTCAGATATGGATTACATCGTGTGTGGGTGTACAACTGCCATATAGGTGAGTTTGGCTTCTACTTTTTTTTTTTTTAACAACTACTTGCAGAGATAAGCTTTGTATCAATTAGATAGTTGCCAGCTCTTTCAAGGCAGTCCAGGTCAGGAAACAGATTTCATAAGACTATTGGAACTCTGCTTTACAGTTGCAGGGCATAAGAACAGAATCTTGAAAGCCTGATAAACTTTCTCCCCTCTCTTGTACCAAAGAGAATCATGGCGGAGCAGTCTTAGGTTTCTTTCTCACCCCTACCTCTCTCTCAAGGCTATGCTGGTGTTTATGAAATTGCCCTTGTGTTCCCTCTTCCAGGCTACCTCCATAGTCCTCTATAATAATTGAAAAGTTTGTGTTCAAAACGTGTAAGAAAAAGATTCTCATGTTGTGTGTTTTACTTAAATGTTCCATTCATTGAATTAGAACTGGTTCATCCATTTCTGAAACTCCCATTTAGAAGTTCATCCTGGAATTCTGCTGGTTCCCTTGCACATACTACTGGAATAATTTTCCAGGAACCTCACCATGTCTCTAAGAATCAGGATTCCCAAACGTCAGTCAGGACAAAATTCTCCTGTTCTGAAGGGAAAGTTAAAAATGAACCTTATCTGGAAGTTTCCTATTGCTTTTAACTGGCAACCCAGTTGGTCTTATCCTGTTTTCTACTTGTTTTTTCCATCTAAGTGGCATAAATTTCCAGGGGTAGCACTACCCCCCTTTTTTAAATTTACAGATAAATAGAACTGCCACATTCAATAACACAAAACGTTCAGTTTTACAATCTGTGTGAAAAGGCCAACAGTCACCACCTCTCCTCCCCATCCCTCCAACCTGTACAGGACATTGTTGCAGGACTTCAGCTGAAATCAGTAGGTTTCCCTTTGGAACTCATTCACTGAATTTTCAACTTGGTTTTTATAACGAAAATGCATGGCCATAGGGAGGCCAGAAAGAAACTTTTGTTTTTGTTAAGGGCCACATAATTTTGATTAGGACCATTCAAAATCCTTATAGCAGAAGCAGATTTTGAAATGAAGTTGGCTGAAATGAAGATGGCATCAGTCTTCTTTCAACCACAGATCATACCTTTTGGAAAAGGGTATCAAAGCTGACATAACATTTGATTCTTCTCTTTTTTCCCCTTCTCACAGCCAACTCTTACAATGAACCCGAACAGCAAGAATACTTCAGTGGACTTTTGAACAATCAGGTGTCTTAACTTTAGGCACTCCATTTAAGAAAGGAAAAGCTTTTTCCCGTAATTTCCCTAACCACTGCTCGGAAAAACGGAAGTATCGAGCAACCAACCATGAACTTTCATGTTAGCTCTGTAAGTTATTTTTCAAGGGTATTACTCCAAACCTATTTTGCAACATTTAGCAGAAGAAGACCACAACGACAGACTCAACGTTCACACCGTTCCAACAGAAGGAAGGTTTTGCACTAGCTGTATGACTTTGCTTCCCTCGGTGTACTTTACCAATTGCAAACTCTCGTGCCCCCTTGGCCCACTGCAGTATATGAAGGGGGCCACAGCAGCACCTGTCTGACCACTCAGTAAGGATGCTTGATGCTCAAAGTTACCTTTTTTAGGGAATGTCTTTTTCAGCCTTGGTAGTCTGTCTTGCAGACATTTGAAAATCTGACTCTATGCCACTGATGGGGGTTTCTGCCCTATGCTCATGACACACCAATCACTCCCATTTCCTGGAATGTCCCTTTTCTCCATCTTAGCAAGCTCACATCTCCAAGAGCACTGGTGACATCTGATTTTGAAAAAAAGTGGAACAATCACTGGGGCGGGGGGAATACGTGAATCGTACGTTTCATCTTGTTTCTTAAAACCACTAGACTGTGAATTTTTCAAAACACAGCAAGTTGTTCACCTGCCCTGCCTTATATTCTGATCCATGTCTTTTCCATCCACCCCTCCCCCCCCAGCCATCCACTTCGTCCCTGTTAATATTGCAGATAAGAAGAACATCAAACATATTCAGCTTTCCCACGATAGGCCTCTTCCCCACTCATCACAGCAAACTATTCTATGGTATCTTTTAAGAAAGAAAGAATTTCCTAAGATGCACATTTTACATGGGAGTCCTTGCGGGTTCAAAAAAGTCAAGATGGCAACTCCCAATTGCAGCCATCTTGATTTTTTGATGACGCCCTTGCATTAGTAAATGTATGGTGATGCTAAGCACATTTGCCTCTGTTTGTTTGAGGTCATGCATTGCTGCAGAAAACCATTCCTACTTGAATTTTTTTTAAGGAAAGGCCTTTATCCAATTTGTATACAGTACTTTTGAAGAAACAACCACAAGGTTCCAATTTTCTTTCTTTTGCTATCCTATGCAAAAGAGGGAACTGCAAAATCAAGCTGTATTTGCTGCAGTGGACCAGAGCACCATGTCCAGCATTTCGTTTCCAAAAAATAATCAATGAGATGTTCCTGGAAGCTCAAAAGGGGAACACGAACAGGATGGACTTCATCTATTGTTTCTTTTAAGTGTTGGATAACTAAGGGTAGATTGTCTCCGACTATGGAGGTTACTAGCTATTGCTACATTGAGATTTTAAACCCATCTTATTTTGGGACTGTAAGAGGGAAGGAATTCAATGTATCTAAACTTAAACATAAAATGATTTAAAGCCTCTCCTTGAAAACTCATTCCTTAGCTTAGTATGTATGGGAGGGAAAAAAAATCCGTAACTGGAGGGATAAACCATGTTATCAAAAGTGTCTTATCCACTACTGTAGAGATTTCTGCAAACCGATTTCACACATCTCTTCTTGATCAGGGACACAGTGAACTTTTTATAGCCATCCACTTTCTCTCTCTCTTTCTCTCGCTTGCTGATTCTTGCTTGTCAAATGAGAACTAGACCAAACACATGGGTTGGGAGGATAAGCTAAGAGGATTATAAAATGGTATTTTGCACAGGTAATAGTGTTGTATGAATGAGATCATGCCATTTATAGATTTTTGTAAAAAAAAAATTGCATTAACAAACTTTCAGATCTAATTCTCTACACAATGGATAACTCTACCTCACAATGGGTATGGCAAGGCTTCCTTCCTTTCCTTTCCTTTCCTTTCCTTTCCTTTC